ATGGCTTAATTTATAATTGGCAAATTCGCATATTATTAAACCATTCTAATTAAATTTAAATCTAATTTATAACAATTAACATAGTAATTTGTTGACTTTGATTGGTAATTCAATCATTATCAAAATAAGTATAATTAATACTTATTTCTAATTGTCTGTAAGTGGAAAAAAATATTTTCACAATTTCATAAAAATATTATTAAAAAGGTTAAATTTTCAAAACTGAAAATTTAAAATTCAAAAAACTCTAGTCATCTCACACATGTTCTTTTCTATGTTTATTTAATTATATAAATATTATTTCTATTGTTTCATTATCTGTTTTAACTAATCGAGCGTTTATTAGTCATCAATTTTTTTCAAAATAAAAAAACAATAATTTTATAATGAAACGAAATATAAGTTTGTTGAATGTATTGCATACCTATTTTATTTTATTAGTTAGAATCTTCTCCTCTATCCCCCTTACGTATGTATTATTTGTAAATGTAAATTATGTTTTTGTAAGGTTTGAGATTAGGTCCTAAAAAATCATGAAGTATACTCAGAAACATATTCAGGAATTTTSTGCCCAGGTAAGAAAAAAAACATGATAGTTTATTTTTATCTGAGTATCATAAATTTTTTTTATCACCCAAATGAACTAGGTATCATATTATATCAAAATGCTCTCTAAAATTTATCACCCGGGACCCAAGTCCCCTGCTCCCTTAAATACGACACTGAGTATACCTACTGTGAAAAATGTAAAACAAAAATGATAATTGGATGAAAAATTAAAATTAAAATTGAAAACAACTTAAATCATTATCGTATAAATCAAAAATCTTAAATCACAGTGCATAATAAATTTATATTTGAGTAGATATTGCTTTAATTTTATTTTTTAAATTAAATACATATTTTATATCTTGTTTTATTATTTATAAACGTACCTATCTATTATCTACCTACCGATTTAATGCTGTTTTATTTTTGAATGTTATAAATTATAATTTAGATTTTTGTACACGACGGATGTGTTAGTTTCCTAGACTTTCAAAGAACATTATATATTACTATACTACAAGATTATAATATACTCAATGTATACATTGTGTAACAGAAAGACTTTACAAATTAAATAACTTTTGTTCTTCTATCTTAATTTTTAATTTTGTTTTTTCATAAGTTAAAGCCACTTTTGTAATACGTCAATGCTATTTTTTAATTTTTATTTCTAATACTGAAAAAAACCAAATTTTAAATACATTAAAAAAAAAAAAAATTAAAAAAGGTGGGTAAGTCGTGGATGTCGCTCTGCTGTACAGTAGGTTACAAGTGGGTTACTGTAAAGGATTGAATTAAATTTGAATCCAATGATATTATATCATTGTATACAAAAAACGATTCTGAGCGAAGACGGTTTATCTGTCTAGGATATATTATAGATAATTAAAAATTTTCAAATCTTAGATTTAAAAAGAAGATTTTTTATGAATTTCTAGTTTGAAATAATTTGCGAATTTTCGTGATTTTCGGGATTTTTACGTATGTTGTCAAAATTCAAACTTTGAATCCTTGTAAAAAAAAAAAATTGTGACTATGAATTTTTTTTATTTTTCAACTGCTATTGTTAAAATGGGTTAGAAGCCTTGTACTAAATTTTAAAGTTTTTCTACCGAACAAATAAATTTTTATCCATATTTATAGAAAAAAAAACTAAAAAAGTTGAAAAATTAAAATGTCAGTAAACAGCTCAAAACAAATCTAAATATTTTGAAAATGTTATCAAATATAGAAAATGTCTATATAAACATTCAGAGAAAATTTCAAGTATCTGTGGTCATTTGTTTTAGACTTTTAGAGTTACACCAAAATAAGGAAATCTTTGTTGTAAAAATTTAAATTTCAAATGCTCATGAAAATTTAATTTGAATTTCCGGTGGAATTTTTATTTGTGATAAAGATTGAAAAACTTATAAGGAATCTTGTATTAAATTTTGAAATCTTAGATTTATAAATACAATTTTTTATGAATTTCTAGCTTAAAATAATTTGTGAATTTTCGTGATTTTTATGTATTTTGTCAAAATTCAAACATTGAATGCTTATAAATATAAATTGTGAGTATGAATTTCTTTTATTTTTCATCTGCTATTGTAACAATATGTTAAGAGCCTTGTATTAAATTTTCAAGCTTTTCTGCCAAACAAATAAATTTTTATCGATATTAATTTAAAAAAAAATAATGATCGAAAATTTCAAATGCCTATGAAGAGTTCAACCTAAGTCAAAATTTTTTGAAAATTTCATGTATCTATGGTCATTCGTTTCAAAGTTACATCAAAAACCAAAATCGATAGTGTCGAAAAATGAGTGTGTGTAAAATTTCCCGTTTCCCCCTTAATTTTTAGTTTGTTTTTCTCGATTATTTAGAAAAGTATTAAGAATTGTTCACTTTTGACTCCCCAAAGTACCAACTAGATTCCCTTTTTCTGATCAAACGAGGTACTGAAGTCAAAAATCGAAGCACTTTAACTGCCCCAAAACGTGATGACAGACACAAGAAAAAAAAAACACACAAACATCATGGTAAAATCAATACATTCATCGCTCCACTCAGAATCTAAAATTTGTAAATTTGGTTTTCAGAAAAAATTTAATTGTAAAAACATATATGGAAGTCATATCCCTAGTATATTTTTATAAGTGTTTTAGATCTTATTATTTTTTGATCTAGTTGAGAAAAAAATTTTTAATTCAAAAAGTTTAATCTTTTTTTACAAAATTTTACGAGAATCATTAAATTGGTTCTACCTAGTTGATATCTATATATAAGTATTATATTTTTTTAAGTTTTTACTTTTCAAATTAATGTGAGTCGTACTTCAAAACATCTTGACAAACATTTAAAAAAAATCATAAATTAAACTACTTGATACAAAAAACTGTTTTCAAAAGGTTTCAGAAAACCAGATTTACCTGCTTTCAGTAATTATCGGTCACATTGTCTTATCGGTGTTTTTCAAACAAAAATCACAACTAATTAATTTTTTAAGATGATAATGACCCATCGAATTTATTTCTAGTACTTACTACATTCTGATTTTCTTTTTATGTGGAAATTTAAACTGTAAATGCTTTGTTAGTAGAGTTAACATAGTGTTAAAAATTCTAAAGTAAAAAATTAATTTACGTTGGTCGTTTTGTGCTTCTGAAAAATACAATGATCATTTTTTAAAATGCATTTTTACTCTTAAAATTAATTTTTATGGGAGTTTTTGAGTATTTTTTTTAGAAAATTATTAAATTATTTTAAAGAAATTTAAATACAGTACCTTAATTTATATATAGAAAAAAAATATTTCTAGTATTATTTTGCACAAAATATGTCAATCTTTTTTTAAATAACGCAATTATTATCGGTTATGTTTTAGCACGGCGTCGGTGTCGAATTCGTACGGTTTCTACCAGAAACTCATCCACCTGTTCTCAGCAACATTTTTTGTGAACTAGGAGTCTACGAAAACATTGTAAGTATTGTCTTAATTATTTAATTGTGTTAAGAGTGAAAAATATTGTACACTTTATGGCACGTCGTTTGGTGTTTTGGCCACGGCGTATATTATAACATAATATTATTTACAATTACAAGCACGTTAAAAACATCTTCTTTGCGGTAGCATGTTTTTTTTTTTTAATAATTCTATTAATAGCTTGGCATTCGTGATTTAAAGAATTTATATAGATCCAGTGCTGTATTTCATATATTATGTTTGTGTTTTTCCTGTTTGAAAATATGTTTGAGCATTTTATAGCTATTTAGAGTTTACCATTATCTATTACACAAAAACATTGTTCATAAAAATGTAAGTAATTCAAAAAATTAAATTCCAATATTTTATCAAAATTGTATAGTCTTTCATGTATGATATATACAGATTGATTCAGCTGCTAACCTCCATTATTTTTTTTGATAACACATTTTCTCGAATTATAATTTTTGTAATTTTTAAAAATATATTCAAAGACCATTTAAATATTCTTAAATTTTTTATGCTACTTTAAGTGTATTCTGTAGCGATAAAAACTTATGTTTTTATCAAATAAGATTCCCGCTTTTTTTCAATTATCAACTTTTACCACTCAAAAGTACCAAAAAGATTAACTTTTGTATCGGAGAAGATGTAAATGTTGAAAATTGGAGATTTTTAGTGCCCTAAATTATGTTGATGAATGACAAAAAATATACACACATAATATAATGATCAATACAATACATTAATTGCTTCACCTAGAATCTAAAATCTCATTAATTTAATTCAGTATACATTTATTTATCACACGTTAATTGGTAGTTTTTTAATTCATAATTGTGTTTATACGGCGCTTTATTGCAGTTGTATAACGCTACGTTATAAATACATAAATATATATTTTGAGCTTTTAAGTAATGAACACACCATGCAGGTAAAACAAGTTGTTTAGTGTTTATTCTGTAAATAATTTATCGCTTGGTTGTGACTTGTGAGTTGTTAGGATTTAAAAATTCTATTGAAATATTGAACTAAATTCAAAGGTCTTGATATAATTCATAAAATAACTATCAGGCCTTTAAATTTTCTTTACCTAATGAATCGGACTTTAGTTGGAATGTGTCAAATGACACTAAATCAATTCTCAGCTGCTACATCGAATGAAGCTTAAATGAATTGGGTGTGATTAATATCCAGCTGCTTTTAAGTATGTTGTGTGTTGGAAATGTATGTTTATAGCATAAAAACATGTCTCACGGTGAAAACTATCACATTTTATAGAAATCGTGTTTCGTTAATTTTAAGAAGAGAATATGGCAGTCCGATTCTCAAACTTTCGATTATGAGCGGAGCGATGAATGTATTGATTTTACAATGGGTGTGTTTATTTTTTTATTTTTTATTTTTGTGTCTATGCACGCTATCAATTTTCGAAATAATTCTTTGATTTCAACTTACGTGGCTTTTTCGGTGGGAAAGTGAATCTAATTTTAACCTATTGTGCAGCAGGGTGGCATCCACTAACCCACTTTTTAATTTAATTTATTTCCTTTGTATCACATTTCAAAACAAATTGATAATTTTGGTTTTGATCTGACCTGAAAATT